AAAAAAAAAAAAAAAAAAAAAAAAAAACAAAAAAAAAACAAGCAGACAAGAGCTCCTAACAAATGAGAGTGAAGGAAGGTGTAGCATATGAAAAGAGCATTCACCTGATTAATGTTTTAAAGAAAAAAGTTATGGGTTGTGGCTCTGGTTACTGGGACAGGAGAAGCAAATGAATCCTGAGTGGTTTATAGGATAGATGCTGGTAATAAATACCATGACCATATATATAGACAAGTTTTGTTGCCCCCTTTTACTGAAAGACCTCTAAATTACTTTTTGTTGCTGGCTGGTTTAATAATACTACAAGTTGTTGGCATTGTTGTCAGCTGAGTGGAATAACTTTTGTGACCACTTTAAATACAAAGTACATCTAAGAGCAGAAAGAATTCTAAAGGCACAACTTAGTCTCATCAGAATGAAATTGTGAGTGAAAACATAAAAGCTAACTTATTTTTTCGGTTTAATGTTATTTGTGCATTGCTGAGGTTGCTGAAATTTTCCCTCAACATTCATTAAGGATAAATTTTTCCTAAATCTGTGGGAAGTAAAAAAATTTGTGAATATTTTTAATTTGAGAAAAGGTTCAAAACTGGACATGCCATCTTAACATCACTGAGACCTTCTGTTGCTGGTATCCAGATGATACCAGTTAAGTCAAGAACGCTGCTTGGTGGAGGAATACAGCTTAAATCAGAGAATCAGTCACATAAGAGGAAGGTTTCTTATGTGAAAAAACAGTAGACAGCTCTCCACTTTTTTTTTTTAATTATTATTTATTTCTCAAATGCTGTATAATTTAACATTTCAGGCAGGAGACACCAATAGAACAACGAAACTATGGCTTTGTACACTACCAGTCTAAATAATACTCAAATCTTTCAGAAATCCTATCTTCGCAAAAGAGTATAATTTTATTTTGGTGTGTAACTGATTTTATAATCTGGTAAATGCAGTGTACATTCTCTTTCGTTTGTTTTTGTAGGTGGCTAGCTCCCCCTTTCTTTTCTGTGTCTGGTTTAGAACAGTCAGATTTTATCCTGTTACTTTGATTATTTATTTGATATAGCTCCATCTGTCCCAATTTTCTGAAATTGTTTAAAAACATTAATAAATGAAGTTCCAGAACACTGTGAGGAGGAAAATATTTTTTATATTAAAATCTGGAGAAACTCTGGGTTTTCAAATGCATGCCTTAGAGAAATAACTCCCAAGTCTTGTTGTAATGTAGTTTAAATGACGTTGGCTTTTTCTCCAGGGCATTTTGATTATTGGTGCTGGAAGAAGGGGTGAAAAGTGCAGTGGTGGTTGGAGAATATTGAGGGACATCACTGCAAATCGATATTCACTTAAGTAATTTCCTCAGCATCCACGATTGAGAGATGCTGGAGACAATATAATGAACTACATGCTTGGTTCAACCCAGTAGACCATTTACAACTAGACAGATAAGATTTTCCTCTGATGAGGGGGGGGGGGAAGAGAGGAGATATATAAACAGTACGCTTTTATTCATTTTGTAAAGATTCCAAAACATTTGTTTTAAGTATTGCAGATTTCTAGATTTTAGAAACTGGTACCTGTAATATATAGAGTCAAAATTAGAAAAAAAAGTGATTTACTTATTTTCAAATGTGGGGGATTTTGGTGGTTTGTTTGTTTGTTTTTGTTTTAGTGTGGTATCTACTACTGTATGTCTAGTGTTATCTTTATTGAGACTCTAGTCTCTGCATGTGAGAGGTCATCTGTGCATACAAAATGTTACCTCTGTGTGACTCCGTCCATTGCGTGGTTAATATACTGTTCAAAGAAATGTAGCATTCAGACAGAAATTCACTCCCTTAAAAGACATGCTGGGGGTATTAAGCTGGTCTCTTAATGAAATAAAATGAATTTTTTAGATTACCAGCAACAAAGTCTGAGGTCAGTAAATAAAATGCTCTTGCAGTCGTGATGGCAATGAAGCAATGAACGCCTCTGCAGTAATTGGAATTTAATAAGGGTAGGCTGTAGTGAAGAGAGAGCTTTCTAGAGGCGTATGGAGTAGAAGCTGACTGGAAAGGTAAACTCTTGTTTAACCTTTTACTCTAAAAAGACGCCAAAAACCACTAAAATTAAGTTGGTAAACTGACTTCACAGAATAACATATAATTAATTTTTATAAGTGAATGTTCTGGAATTATGAACACCAAAAGTGTCAAAAAACCCTTCAAAGACCAGGTGGAGTATAGAGAAGGTTTCCTACTACAGGGGTCTTTTCCTTTGCTCTTGTGCATTGTGCTTAGATTTTTCTTGCTCATCTTCCTACCATTTCTCTTTGGTGATGTGGTTCTTCTGGGTATGACAACGAATAGAAATTCAGGAGGTTGTGTACTGCAGTCTTAATGTGTGGATTAACCCCCTTTCCCAGGATGTACAGTGGCAATGAATAAAACATTAGCTGCGTATGTTCACCTAATGATCAGCCCTTAGCTATTGGCATCCAGAGTTTCTGGTTGAGATTAGCAGTTGGCATCCACTGACAAGAACAGACAGGTTTTTACAAAACCTTCTTTGGTGTTATCTTAAAACCAAAAAGATCTCTGCAAACAATTATTCTTTCTATATTTGTGTGCTGGTCTGTTCAGCGAGAGAAGGAGATGGGAGATGAGTGTTCTGGCAGAGGTCCTGTAGCCATATGTGTAATGCCACTGGAACCTCCTGGGAAATACCAACTAAACTGAAAGTTAGGTGCGTGACATACAAAGTGCTGTATGTAAAAGGTAATAAGTATATATTATAATTATATATATATGATGGCAGTTTGGTTGTAAATGATAACATAAAAATGCCAGTTGCTAACAAGATGACTCAGCACACTTAACATTTTTCATCCAGATCCATGTGTGTTTCTTTAAAATACCGTTTGTTAAAAATAATTTTGCAAATTATTTGCAGAGAAGCTGGAGACAGAGGAATTAGAGGCCAAGGCAATGGTTGGCAGAGAAAGGGATGAGAAAGGGGTGGGGGTAGTGGGTCCAAACTGCCATTGCTTTAGGTACAGGTGTTACACATGGACAGGTCTGTACTGCTACTGAATAACAGGAGCCTGCATAGAAATGTGGTCATCAGCACTTTAATGTTGTCATAGAAGAAATCAATAGAATTCCATGATTCATTCTCAGAAACAATTCTGTTCAAAAGAGAAGAACACTTTATTTTTACAGGACATTGGTAAAACCGTATATTCCTTCTAGTTTGGGTTATTTGTTTTCAAATTAAGCACTGAACTTACGGGAGGTAAGTCTCTTGGAGGCGATATTTCACTGATGCAGACCTTTTTATTAATTGAGTGTGTGTGTATTGTTTGCTGTAGTACCTCTTCACCTTCTTTGCTTCTCCATTCCTGAAACTATTTTCCAGTTTGATGGAATTCCAGTGTATCTGAGTGTGGGTCAGTACAACCATTTATTCGGTTGTTTTGTCATTTATTTGGTATCTTTAAAGTATGACAGTGTTCATTTTTATATCTTATAATATTTTTATATTTTTAATGTAAAAGTTTAAAGTATATCTACATAGTTTTCTGGTAAATAACTTTTTCCTTAATAAAAATTTGAACTTTTTACAAAATAACCATTCTTCCTTGTGTCTGTGTAGGGGAAAATGCAGTGTTGCACTTCTGAATGAGACAGAATCTGTACTGTCATACCTGGAGAAAGAGGTAATATATGATTTCTATTTGGGTAAATATTGTGATGGGTGTGGTCTTTTACAGCTGTATTTTTAATAAATGGGCAAACAGTACTTTGAAAATCTCTTACTGAATCATACGTTGGAAAAATTATGTTGTTGAAAACACCAATTTCAAAAAAGTTATTGGATAAAATCTTAATTGATGTTCTTAAATGATGGGTTTGTTGTCAGTATGTTTGCATTTAAAAAGTATTTCCTCAATTTTCATTTCCTGTGGCAGATACTTAGGATGCTTAGCTTTAGCAGAAGGGAAGAAAATTCCCCAAGAATTTGAAAGATAATTGCATTATGTAGTGCAAAACACGTTCAGAATAAACATATTTTTCTTTGGAGTGTCTCAATATAAAATCAGAGAGACAGTGGTTTTAAAATGAAATTAACGTCTTTATTTTTGATTTTTACACCAAAACCACTGATAATTGGTAAAATATTTTAGGTACTCTACCAGATTCACCGATACTATTTTTCTGTCTGAGAAGGGTTTGCACAGTGTTTAATGGGTTTTGAGACTAATTTATCATGCAAAGTCAGTATGGTAGAGATGCTTACGAGTGGAAACACATTAAATTCAAAAAGAAGTTAACATTTTCAAATCCATTGATATACTTTTGTGTATGAATCTTTTCATTATTGCTCAGTTCTGAAGTAAGTCCCAGCAAAGACAGAAGCTTCAATTACCCTTTTAAAAGCACTCATGAAACATCTGTATTGTGTAAAAATAGGATTTATGTACCAAACCTGGGTTCTGTAAAGTGTGCAGATTTCCAAAAGGAAGGTGTTACAGGTTTAAAAACCCAGTTTTAAAGAGTATTATGCTGTTGCAAATGTGTCTTCTTTTTTAGGATACTTTTTTTTATTCACTGGTATATGATCCATCACTGAAAACGCTTTTAGCAGACAAGGGAGAAATCAGAGTGGGGCCTAGATATCAAGCAGATGTGCCAGACATGCTTGCAGAAGGTAAATACGTGATCTTTGATTAGTGAAAAAGGTAAAAATCCTTATCTTGCAATATTGCTCATGCTGACTCTTGAACTAAACTAGTACATAGAAGGCAGAGAAAATGGTAGGTCTGAGAAAATTCATGGATACTGCTAGGTATTAGAAAGGAAGAAAGAAGGAAAGGGTGCTTGAATAGCTGTTGAAAAGACACTGTGCATTTCGAGTTTGTGCATAATGCAGTTTAGGCATTTGATATTTGTTTGTTTTATTGCATGGTCTGGTTAGTTCTGTAATATAGGCTGCATGGAGAGCAGATGTTGAGGACCAACCATTTGATAGAATAATAACACAGTAGTGAAATAAGTCAAAAATAAATTTGCTCTCTTCCTTTTTAAGCAGACTATGCATAGAAAATATTTCTTTGTGTCTTCTTATTTTAAAATGCTGTCTTTCATCAAAACATCTTCTCTGTTTTGTAACATGTTTGAAAGAAATGTTTCTACCCTTGGCATAGCTTTAAAATCACTGATAATGTCTAAATTTTATTTTATTTATTTATAATCTAGCATAACTACCTGTACCTTAGTATTTGGCTGCATAAGAACTATTACTTTAAACAAAATTTCAAGTACAATATTTATTTAGTGTTTGGGTGACATTAAAGAACTGTAAGCATCTGTGTCTTATGTCTGCAATTATGTTTACTTGGTAAATTTTAAAATGATTTGGTTTCATCAGCCTAATGCGCACTCTATATTGAGTGCTAACAAACGAAAAGTTTCCTCAGAAGCATCGAGATGTATTTTCAAGAATCTTGGTACTTATTCTCTACTGAGAAAAGATCATGGGAGAAGAGTATCACTTGCAGTAAGTCCAAGGAGTTCTGAATGCCCCAAATATATATATTTGTAACCTTAAATGTGTTTTCCTTTCCATGTGGGCTGCTTTTTTTTGCTGTATACGTTTTTTTATTAAAGAAAAGACATTATTTCCAATTTATACAGAGCTTATTTAATAAACATATGAAATAAGAATAATTTGTATAAAACAAGAATATTTTGATTTCTGGCAAAAGGCAGATTATTTTACAATGAATCCTCTCTAGTAGATCACCTGCAATATTATTTTGACTTTAAATAACCAGAAATAAACTATAAGAAGTAATTTCCAGATTTTTTTTTTAAGGTGTACAAACTTGTTTCAGAACAAGTTTATGAATAGAATATGATACACTGCTATTCTTGCTGTAAAATGGAACTGTCATAAAGAAAAAAAAAAATTATGTAGACATTCATATGCTCAAGAGGAAAGCTTGCCAGAGGACTAAAAGCAAATGACTGTCTCAATGTGTGTATCAAGTAGCCAGGAAGTACTGATGTGATTCCAAAGCAGTGGGTTGAACTGTAGGATTTTCAGGATAAGCTGGGGTTGTCTGCCAGGCAGGAAGTCTTTTCCTCCTGAGTTCTGCTTACTTAAATTACTAAAGACAGAGCCTAATTATGAAATAGTGAATATTACATAGAAAGTAAATGTTTTTCCTGTTGAAATTTTACTTATTTGATTTCTTTTTTCTAAAATAAATTCCATATTTATTTAAAGTGAATTACTAAGTTCTTCTGGAGCTTAACATTCTGTGTTAAATACTTAATTTAGTTAAATGAGTAAATCATCTCTCTTACGTCATAAACACATGAATTCACTGTGTTACTGTCTTCTTTTTCTCACACCCTGTTAATCCCCAAAATGCAAAGTGATGCAGTTTTCTTGCTGTCTCTAGAAGAAAATAATAGTCCATCAAAGTTTAGAAACATCAAACCCACAAACCAAGGATCTGTTGGTACATGGAGCACTGGAGCAGTTTAGCTGGATTAATCTGCACTTATTTCAAGTGGCTGTTGGAAAAAAAGGGTTTGGTTTTAGGAGGATAAAAATATCTGAATTATGGTAGTTTTGACTGATTGTTATCTAAATGTTTCCATAGCCCTCTGACCTCCAGGGAAAAACAAAAGATGATTCAGCTGTTACTGTTTCTTTATGTAAGCTGATGGCCTTGGAAGCTAATCCATTCACTGTCAAGTCTTTTCATTCATGAAAACAAATCTAAACTATTTTTAAAATTAATAGAATAAAATAGTTATATTTGTAATTTATGGGATTCTGTGAAGATTTTGATTCTTTATGTGGATTTTTCAGCCTGTACTGTTAATAGTGGCTAGTGATCTGTATCTTTAAATTATCATGCTATAATGTATGACTCTTTAAAACTGAAAGTTAGAGCAATCACCTTATATTAAAGGAAATAATTTAGACAACTTTAAGTCAATTAGGAAAAATCAGGTTTTATATCATCTAATAATAGTATAGTATAATAAAAGAGAAGACATGAAATTTTTCCTCTAATGTAAAGGAAGAATAACTTTTTGAAGGTGATTGATAGACATATTTTATGTTTACAAAAAATCCCCAAACCCATTTAAAAAAGAATTAGAAAAACCCAAGATTCACACACCATCAGTTGTTTTATATTCAAAGTTACTGACATATGAATCCAATTCAAATGACTGAAGACATGCCAATTCTGCCAGTGCAAATTCCAGACCAGTCACAACGTGGCTGAAAAATAAAAAAGAGTTCTGTAACCACTAAGTTATTTTAATGTAAATACATTGATGTATTCTAATAGATTAAACATTCAAATTGCTTGCACTTTCTCCATACGATGATAACTTATGTTCTGTCTGAAGGGACTGTTGGGTTTTTGTTGGTGGTGGGGTTTTCTTAGTGTTTACTGGAGAAACATGGGCATTTTTTTGCTAGGAATAATTTTTTTTTTTTCTCCCATGCATTGATGTTACCATTTCTGTGTTCTTGAGTAAAGCATTCTCCAAAACCGGATGTTTAGATTTTGGATAATTCGGCATTCCTTTTTCCCCCTGCCCCATGGGTGTAATGGATAACTTTATGTTTCTTCTTAATTTTTGAAATGAAAAGAACGTTTACTTTCAAAAGACTAGAAGTTTTATTAAAATTAAGATGCATGATGAGGTATTCCAGATTCAAATGTTTTTCCACTTTGGAGATGCATTGAATCATGAATCCTTTACACAGTTGCAGTAAACCAGTATAAACAAAGTTTAAATTTGGTTAAAAATGCATATGCCTTGTATTTCTTTGCCCCTTTTGTTTGTAATGGTTTAGCTAATTCACCTAGATTACACATTTAGTGAAGACTGTAACTTTGGAGAAAGACCAGACCAGATTGCTTTCAGCAGTCTTGCCACTTTTGTTATCAACATCCTTGGGAGTAAAAACGTGGGAGTAAAAGTTGTCAGATTTGAATGATGTTATGGTTGTGTGAAACCCTTCCTTCCCCCCAGTGCCAGTTGTTCCAGTTTGTCTAGACTCTGGTTTGAAGATTTTGAGTCTTTAGTGTCTTCTAATACACTGGAGAACAGGAGGCTGTGTTCTACAGCATTGACTTAAATTTTGCTAATAGGATACTGAAGAAGGTCCTTTTTTTATTTTAAAAAGACTTTGTCCAGTGGCTTATTTTGTGGATGTAGCAGTTTATTTTCAAGTCTGTTACCCCACACTGGAGATATTCTCCTCCTCTGTGCAAAGCAAGAATTAAAAAGGTTTATCTCTGATAAGCAAAAGCATGAATTTGGATGAAGAGTATCTTGTTTCAAGCATCTATACAGTACAGGAGCAAGGTACCTGGTTCTCTGCATGCGATGACCAGAAGCTGCTGTCTGGTGCATCCACCCACTGTATTTCATAGAATCATAGAATCAGCTGGGTTGGAAAGGACCTCTGAGATCATCAAGTCCAACCCTTGATACACGACCTCTGTGGTTACTAGACTATGGCACTAGTTGCCACATCCAGCCTCATCTTTAAAACTTCCAGGGAGGGAGAATCCACCACTTCCCAGGGCAGCCCATTCCACTACCTAATTTGATCAACAGATTCTAAAATGTGTGACTACAAAGTTCAACAAACAAAACTGAAAACCCCAAACAAGCAAGGAAAAGAAACCTATACAATTTTGCTTTGGGCAAGTAATTATTATCATTGTTATTTGATTACAAGGCATACTTGTTCTGAATATGATTAAATTCTTGTCACCTTTAACAGCTTTTATTTAGTCCTGTTTTGTGTATAGGGAAATTGCACCAAGACAAATCAGTTTAGATATGTGGTAGACTTTTATGTAACATTGATTTTTTTTTTTTTTTTCCCTGTCTCACAACTTTAAAATCCAAATGTTTTTAAATTCTGGCATTTCAACCAGTATGGCTCAGCAGTGGAACTACTGACGCAGTGACAGGTTGTCTTACATGGTTCGCTAAGAAGCAGAGAATGACAGAGATAAAAGTGCTGGCATAGCATTAGGGATATCATTTAGCAAGTAGGATAATGCTTAAGAATGGGAGTAAGTGGGAATTTTTTGCTCTGCGGGATTTCATATAATGCATAATTGTTTCTGTCATATGCCTGCATTGGTCTTTCTGCCTCATGTGCGCTATTGTAGGCCTAATTGTAGTTGTCACACAATGTCAATGCGTTTACACAAAGTAAAATGCATGGCAGCTTAGCTAAACACATACAGTCAAAGTGGTGTTGCAGATAGGGAAGCCAATTGCTTACAGTAATCTCAGTAATTTCCTAAGTAATGCTTACTTTCATTTATTCATAGATTTGTGGAGAGGCTGCACAAAAGGTCAATAATTGTTTCTCTGTCAAAGCTCTATTAAAACTTCTGCAGCAAAGGATATTTTCTAAATAAACCTAAAAAAAAAATCTTTATGTTGACTGCTTTGTTGTCATGGTTTGGAAGTCTAGTGAAACTATTTGCAGTAATATTCTGACTAAAAATACCTCAACCAAACAAAAAAAGTACTAAATTGTATTTTCAAGAAAGCTAATACAATTTATAGTAACTGTTTTCTATTACTTAAAATAAAATTAGAGAATAAATGTAATTTGTCAGAATAAATTTTCTGATGTTAAATTTG